CATCTGTCTTCTTGCCAGACTATCAGTGAAGATGACTGCCTGCCCATGGACCAGTTTGCTGTGCATCTGTTGCCACACTTATTACACTTGGCATCTGACAGGGTTCCAAACGTTCGAGTCCTGCTTGCAAAAACATTAAAGCAAACGCTCTTAGAGAAAGGTTAGTGGTCAGAAATAGTTGCAGTGGGCTGACTGCATGTCTTTTTGTCCCTCCACTTTCCTATAGCCAGCTGGGAAAGATGAAACAGCATGAGATGTGTGTCACAGTTGCCTTTCTAGTCTCCTTGGGGTGGGGTGTTACCTTAAATGAGATAAACCTTAAACCTCGTTGTGTCATCAGAGCCACAGTTCTGTAATGCTGAAAAGTATGAGGTCATGCTCATGGTTTTTCCTGCCCCATTTTTTTCTGAATGAGTTAGGTTGTAGAGGTAATCAGGGTACAGAAAGTATGCATGAACAATGTACAAGTGTGATTGAAGGAAAAAATCCTTCACGCACAGAAATCTAGCATCTGTTCTCTGGCTGGGGTGGAAGAGATGGCTGCTGTTTGTTTTATGGTAGCAGAGAGAAGGAAGTTTCTCTGGTGTCTGATCAGGGGAAATAGGACATGCTGTGTTCAAATTGCAGACTGTGCTTAGGAAGGTATCCCCAGTGCATAGCAGGTGCCAGAAGAGGCAGCAGTGCTCACATTCCAAAGTACTGTAATGGAAAATAGCATTAGAGATTTTGTAAATCAGCAGAGTCTGCACTTGAACTACTTCATTTCTGGTCACTTTCTTCCTCAAAATATATACACTGGCTTGAGGGCTGCCGTTCTATCATAGAAGACTTTTGGGAAGATGAAAGTGGTGTGACTGAAATGCAGAATGTTTAAAACAGCACAAAGGATGCCCACTCAGTGAGAAGTAGGCTATCACTAGCTGTCATGTGTATGCTGGAGGCTCTGAGTAAGCATATGTGGATCAGCTGATGTGCAGTGATTTGTTATCTTCTGCTAACTGTGCCAAGGCTGCTGTTACAATATTCTGTTGAGATTTTTGTTGTCCTCAATATTTCTGTGTTTCCCTCCTGGATCGTACAACTCCATTCTGTATTGCCACTGTACAAGCCTGTCATGCAGGCAGTCCCTGCCTCAGAGACGTGTGTGTGATAGGGGTGGGGGAGAGATTATTAAAGGCAGATATAAAAAATAAATTCAGAAGTTCTTTGCAGCTTAGATCTGAATTGCCCTTCCTATGAGAAATCTATAATTATGTGGCTTTTGTGCAACTTGTGTTGTGTAGTTTGTGAAAACTGTCAAATACTGGGGCTTCTTCTACTCTTATTAAATATTATCTTTATTCTGTTTGATAAGTATTTGGCAAGTCTACCAGTGAGATGGAATGGCATGACTGTGGGTTTGTAATATCTTCCCTCCATCACAAATATAAACACGCTCCTTCCAGGTCCCTTGTGTGTGCTGTTTACCCCTTTTTGGCCATGGAATCTGTTCTTCTTTTATTGATAGGCCATAGAAATCTTGTACTTCTACCAGCGCTGTTAAGGAAACTCTGATTTGAAATACAGAATGATATTTGTTTTGTAAATGCATGTGTAGGTCTGTTCCGAGTGGTGTTGTGGGACTGCTCAGATATTGCAGTTTGACCATATGTGTGCACCGTTTGTCTCCTGGATTTTGAGCCCTGTGGGCTGCATGCTGAGGTTTGCCTTGAGGTGTCAGTTGCCTTTTGTTCCTCTAAGACTTCTGCGTTTTCTCTTACAGAGTATTTTCTAAATTCTGCCAACTCTCATCAAGAAGCTGTGGAGCAGACAATCATGGCGCTTCAAATGGACGATGACAGCGATGTCAAGTACTTTGCAAGCATACACCCTGCCAGTACCAAAATAGCGGATGATGCCATGAGCACTGCTTCATCAACGTATTAAAAATCTCCTGAATGTTGCTATAATTAAAAAAAAAAAAAATTGAAACAAAATATCCTCGTGCTTCTAAAATGGTTGATAGAGGACAACCTCTTTGGAAGGAGACATTTCTTGCCAGAATGAACAGGTGGATGTTATCTAAACCTGATGCCAGGGATTTTAAGTCAAGAAAATGTAAACCTACTTATGTCAGCTTGACTTGAGAAAAAACACTGCTCAGAGGATTATTTTTGCCACCGAAGCCTTAAATCTTCTGTCTTCCTGAACAAATAAAACTTGAATTGGCAGATCATTTTCATTGTAGAAAGGATGTGATTTCCAGAGACCTGCGTTGTTTCTCCTGAGGAGTTAACTTAGCAAGTATTTTCTGTAGCAACTGATAGGTGAAATGGCTGGAAAGGCAAATTTGTACCGGGATGTAAGACCTCCAGTATTAGCGCTCAGAGATTTTATTGTTCAAGGACTCAATCTGTGTGCAACTGGGCACACCCTTAAGTGGGAATAGCTTTCATGTGTGTCAATGGGGAAGGTAAAAATTTGGATTTCTCTTAAGGGCTCAGTGCTAACACTAAACTAGAATTTGATTTTAATCCTTAAATGCAGCATATTGCTGTGCCCGTTAGCAGAAAACTTTGCTGAGTACCTGTGTCCTAATTATTTTCATGCTGGTCATGACCTAAAGGAAATTTATTAGCACATATACTTTAAGTCAGGTATTTTTAACTTGATCGTGATCAGCTCTGAGGTGCAACGTTTTTCTTCATTTACTGTACATATCTGTGAGCCTCCTTGGAGCGCTGCAGTCTTTAATCATGTTGTTTAAAGCTGTTGTGATACAAGTTGTTCTCTACTTGTCCAAATAAAATTTAATAATAAGATTGAAAACAATCTTGTGACCTTTTTAAGACATTAAAAGAGTAAGTTTAAAATTCGTGTCTATTTTTTCCCCTCTTTCCTTACTCTGACTGCATGGGGAAAGGGGATTCTTTAACGATGGGGACGGATTTTGTACTTTGAGATGATGTGTACTGCAGTGTGGATGCACTTTGGCCATGCAGTTGAGGTTTTGCTAGGTTCTCTCTCAAGAAGCCCAGGTTTGCTTGGGGAGCCCACTACTCTGGTGTGAAACCACATCTTTGCTGAGGTGAATCTGAACAGCTGCCTTTGTTCAGACATAAAACTATAAGCCCACATTGCTCTTAAAGTGCATGCTGTCTTTTGCTACTTTTATTTCCTCTCCTGTAAGATGACTGCTACAGTGTCTACTTCTTTGTCTTCCAGGGGCAGCCTGCTTATGGCACCTTTTCCTGCAGCCTGCACAGCCTCAAATGTGAGAAGCTTACTTTGCTGAGGAGGTAGAGGTGGCTGTGGCAGCTTATACTTGATGTATTTTGGCAGAACATTTTCATTTATCAATTGGGTGTCTCATCCCCTGACAGGTTAAGCTCAAGGAGGTGTCTCCTTGTTTCCCCCTTGTTTTCTTGGGAAAACAAGTTCTTTGGCACCTTCCTCTCTAGTAAATAGGAAGTTGCTATTTATTCCTCACCGACCCACTGTTTTATTCCTAAGTGCCACCATATGGAGTTGGTTAAGAAATAGTCATTAATGTCTGCCTTGAAGCTTGGGTTTGTTGTGACAATGCTGGTGTGGTTTGGTTATGTTAGGCTTTTCCTGTACTTCTCATGTGCGGTTGTTCTGCTGCCATTCTAATGTGGTGTTGCACTAACCCAGTACAGCCAAGCATCACCTCTGCTGCCTTCAGGTATTCTCCAGCATTTAGAGGTAAGATACTTTTAAGTTGGAAAAAGTGTTATTAGTCTTCAGATGCTATTTCTCTTTGCTTTGTACTACTTCAGTACTGGTGGAAGTCTATGCTTTTCCCCTCAATATATTCAGGCTGCATATCTACGTTTGTTCTTTGTTGGTCAGTATTGAACAGAAAGAGAAGTAGCTCCTCAACTGTCATCTGTTAGTTTATCTTTCCCGAAAGGAGGATCATAGTTCTGTCACTGCCTTCAGGGGCCAAATACCAAATTACTGTTTGCTATTTTGAAGAGGCTGGTTGTACAACTTCCTGGTCCTGTGGGTAAGTCCTGTTCTTGTGAGGGCTGCAGAGTAGTGGGCAACTTCCAGCCTGACCAAAAGAGGTGTTTGCATGAGTCTGGCAGCCCTCATGTCTGAATGTAGATCTGGCTGTCATGTCAGCTCCTCCCATCGGTGCTTTCAGACTCTGCCTTTCAGTTCTACTAAACAGAATTTGGATCAGAAGAAATGAGAGCTTGAGGTGATGGAAATGCTGTAGGGTTTGATTGTAGGACCACTTCCAGCTGACTGAACTGCACTGTGAAGGTAAGTAAAAAGGTTTTAACCATCTCACAGCTCTCCAGTCATAAACAGTTTGCTTTAAATGCTGTCACCTATTTCTGCTGAGGGGCAGTAATATTTCTTAATGCCAGCTATTTCTAGAGTAGCTTCAGGTGGTTCCAAATCCTAACTGTGAAAAGCAGAGGATGCCAAGAGCAGGAGAGCTGCACTGTTTGACTGTCAAGAGAAACTGGAGTTAGGAAAACCTCAAATGATTAAAACTAAGACAATGAACCCAGCAGACTTGGTTTGAATCAAATGACATCAAAAGCAAAAAAGGAGAGTTGGGCTATTTCTGTCTTACTGCTATTTTGCTGTGCCTTTTTTTGGTCTCTTTGTTAAAAGACCACTTCAAGTGAGTGAGTTTGGCAACATCTCACAGTGCTTCTGCCTCCAGCTGCTGGAGGCTGTTGTGAACACCACCACTGAGGGCTTTTACTGCTGATGGTGAACTGTGCTCACTCCAGATGACATCTTCCCGTGTATGGATGAGTCTGAGTTGCCTGCTGAAAAATGATAACCTTGCCAAATCTTTCTGACAGATTCAGATTGGTGTTTTTTTTCTTTTCTTTTTATATTCTTGGCTGCAAAACCCCACCATCCTGCATACCTGTCTGGGCAGTAGCAGGTCCTGGTGCTACCTGGGGAGAATAAGTATTGGCTGCATTATAAAAAGACATTGTACATTATGAAGCAGATAGTCTCCAAACTCCTTTCAAATGGCTGTTGAATTTATTTGCTTGATAAATACAATCCTAACAAAATAAAAGTTAACCAGATTAAGAGATTTTTCTGAAGAACATTAGAAAAATCCGTGACAATTCAATAGGAATTAGTGTGAAAGAAACAACAAAAAAAAGTTTAAATATTGCCAGCATATATAAAATGTATGTAACGAAGGCAAGGGAGAATGCTCTATTTAACATCTGTCATCTGACCACTTTTTGTGTTTATAAACTTCTTTCCAAATTTTAAAAAAATACTATGCAGTTTTCTATAACATATCAAAGCATTATTTGTACAAAATCAAATCATGGCCAATGCTTCACAACAGTGCAATAGATACAGAATTATAACCACGTCCAACAGGTGCTGAAAATAAATACCCCAATTAAGAAATAAGAGCAGCTCTCTGCGCCTGCCCCCGGGGCTGATGGAGAGGTCATGTGTGAAACAGGACTGGCCCTCAGCTGCCCACAGGGCCAAAGGCTCCGGAGGGGTGGAGGCAGGAAATAAAGCAGCCACCAGGCTGACTTACAACGCCAACCCAAGGCTGTTGCTGGGCCCGGTGCCTCCAGCTGGTGCCGCCCCTTCAGAGAGGAACACAGCACTGCTTGGCTGTAGGGCAGCAGCACAGACCTGTCTCACAGTGGGTGTGACGATGGTTTGCGAGTGAGCAGATGCATCAGCTGCACTGCTGTGCATGAACAGCTCTTGGTGAACGTTTCCATCATACAGAGACATAAATAACATCTGTCAAGTTTTACATTTATTCAGTACACCTTAAAACAACAAAAAAAGAAGTTTAAGGGCATGTCAGGTAAACATGATACCCCACAGTCTCCCACCTTTTCAGCCAACCAAGGATAAATTTAAAGCTCCCATGTATATAATCTGCATCAGAAAGGTATCAAAGGCACAAGCAAGAAGTGACGAGGTTAATAAGCAGAAATAATGGTGAATGAGTAGAATCATAGGGCAAATAATTAGTATGTGTCGGTGCATTTGCGTTCATTTGCTGAAAATGAGACCTTCAGTTCTGCTCTGATGAATGTAAATAATGGGTTTGGTTTAAAATAAAACTGTTACTGAATTATTGTAAATCACCTGAAGGAAACCAGTCTCGAAATAATCTGATAGAAGCTGGAGAACTCTTCTGGCCTCTCTGCACTCACCTGAGTCTGATGAGCAGCACAAGGAGTAGAGACAACAGTCTCCAGGCTTAGCACACAAAGTTCTTTACAGGATGCACACAGCCAGCAACCAATTGTGCAGTTTGACCCAAATGTCAGTTATTTGCACACGGCGGTGGTTGACGTTACATTATAAATACCCAAGGAGCCTGATCAAATAGGAGTTTCTTTCCTGTCTTTGCTTGGAGATGGCTTCACTTGCTGCTCCTTGCTTGCTTTTGGCTGCTCTTTGGCTGCTTTTGTCTCCAGGACCCCGTCCCTTTGCTGCTGAGAAGCAGCCCCACGCTTTTCTGCTTCGTCCTCCTCCTGTGCCTGCTGCTCTGACTTGGCTCGCTGCAACAGCCGGAGCTGCACACGCAGCTCAATGATGGCCTCTCGCTCCTCGTGAATTGCTTGGTTCAGATGATTGTTCTTTATCTTTTAGGTAAGGAAAACACACATCAGTGCTCCTCAGCCACGCTGTACCTTGCATATAGCACAGCTTTGCTGCTAATACAGCAACATGGGCTTGCATGCAACAGCAATTGAAAAATGGAGCCCAAGTTTCATGCCTGGGCAAAACCAACACGAAACGATCTGTCCCCTATTGGGGAGAATGCCAATTAATCCTAAAGTTCAAATTGTCTTACCTCCAGCTCCTCATTCTGCCTCTGCAAATCCTCCAGGATGACCTGCAGCTCCTCCTCATCCTCACTCTCACTTTCACTCTCTGAAGAATACTCCTCTGTTTCACTCCGGCCATGCTGCTGGCGACTGGAAGAGCAACGACAAGACTGAGATCACAACACTTGCTCAAGTTTGCCAGGACTGGAGCGCATAAAGTTTTCTCATGTTCACTGAATAATCTAAGGTGGCTTTGAAAACAAACTTAGGGTTTGGTTTAATTTAACAAATCCATGATTTCCTATGGGGATGTCTTTTTGTGGTGCAAAGGTCTAGCTCCCATTAGATCATAACTTCATTGCTGTACTAACAGAAAATATTCCAAAAGGTAAAAAGATGCTGATTTCAATAAAAGAAACCAGCTTGCTGATGTGCACACAGTGATCTTTTTTAAGTATGGTTTAGTTTTGCTACTTGTCCCCAGAGCACATGCCTGGCTGGGGAGCTGAGGCAAGCAGTCTCCCTTTTTTACCTTTGTATTTCAGCTATTTCTGCACGAAGGCGATCAATTTCTTCCTTCTCTGAGGCTATTTGTCTCCGCAGAAACTGCTCCATGGCCAGCAGTTCTTCTTGCTCTGTTAAAATCTCATTCTCCTGCAACAAGCAATTAGTTCACTTACAGCCTTGGCCTTATGTTCTGTGGGAACATGCACTGAGGATTACTCTAATGCTGTGCCCTGGGACGCGGCGATGCTGTTCCCTGAACTGCTTTCAGAAGTACTTAGCATGCCTGCTTGGCACTGAGTCAGCAAAAACTTCAGCCCAACTCTATGTTCAAACCCAACAATGTCTGCTCTGAACCCTCAAGGTGATGGCTGTGCTCAACAGCTGTGGGGATGACACACCGGGTTCTGGATGTGCAGCCACCTGTTGCCTTAAATCACGGGGGGAAGCTCTGGGAGAACCCACAGAAGCTAAATTCAAAACTAGGTCTTTGAAGATTTATAGTGAGAGAAAAGTGCAGCAGAGGGAGGATCAAAGCTATTGAGGCAAGCCAAGGCAGGCATGAATGCCAAAGAGCTGCCTTATTTCCTTTGATCAGCAGGAAAAGAGTTAACAGTCCTAACTGTGGTCAGTGCTTTCTAAGCACGTGAACAACAAAGCCTACTTGTTGCTGCACACCATCTCCTCTCTGCCTGAACAGCAGCCTGCTCAGTTTCAGGCATACTCCTGCAGTCTGCATGCTTTCCCTGCTTTATTTAGTGCTCAAACAAAGCCTCAGATTTTAACAGAGTGAGAGGCCCATTTAAGCCCCTTATGTTTTCCATTATATTAGAAGGAATAAGTACATGCTTAGTAACTCTGACAGATGCAGAACACAAAAATACAGCATACAAACTGCTATGTGCAGTTCAATTACCTGAGCAAGTAGAATATTTATAACTTCCTCATTCTCATTCATTTCTTCTTTGGAGACATCCTCCTTGGAAAGGCTGGCAATTTCTTGTGCAATCTTTGTTTCACACTCCTGCCAGAGAAAGAGGACAATTCTGAAAAGGCCACCTGCCCCACTCACTAGTCACTGTTATGAAGAGGTTTTTTTTCAACATCACATTATTTTTCAAATTTAGAACCATAACTCTTATTTTGAAAAGCTTTCAGGAAGATGTTTTTAATTTCAGCATTTGCAAAACAAAATGGCTGCGTTCACTGCTTACCCGGTGCTCTGGGACATAGCACAGTTTAAAATATGCTGCTGCAAGTTCATTCACCTGAGCCTTCAGTCATCCCTTTTGTTGGGCCAGAACACACAGTGTTAAGCATGGAGTGGATATGAGCTCTGTCAAATGTTGTTTTAGTCATGCACTGTTTTAAAAACAGCTGGAAGGTGAAGGTGCCACTCCTCAGCCATTTAGGAATTAAGATGGAAAAAAAAAACTTGCACTGCAAAGACTGAAAGAGGGGGGTTGATCTAATTCCCCTGCAAGAATGCTCAGATGTTTTGTTTTGAGTCATATGAAAAGTAAGAATTGGGATATCTGCTTCACCTAAGGCGTACCAGCCTGGATACAAATGTAAGAGACTAAACTTATGCTCCAGCAAAGGCTCAAATGATTCTTTTTCCACTGAGCCCACAGCATTGTTAAGCCATGCTACACCCACACCCCCCAGTGCCTGGTTTATCTGTGTTTCTCTGTGTACCCTGGGGAATGCTTTCACAACTGTCACAGCTGTATCAACTCATTAATGGCCCACTTTTCCCTAAAAATGTAGTTATATTCTTACACTTTCACAACTCAAGAGTACTGTAAGTAATACCAGAAATCTGCAAATTTAATTCTAGAATGTAACTTTATGTTTCTCTTTAGAATTTGCGTACTAAAACTCATGGAGCAGAGCAGGAAAGCATAATGAAAGGCTTTGGTGGCAACCACGCTTTCTAAATCCAACTTATAACGAGTACCAATATTCCATACCTGTCACAATCTGAGCATTAGAAGCCCCCAGTCCATGGTTATAGAACCATCTCACAGTCGTGGCACTTTCAACTACTGGGTCAGGCAGGAAGGCTGAATGATGCACCCCAAGAAATGGGGACGAGCAGTGAATAATCGATAGTCATGAAATTTGGGGAAGAATCGCTGCAGTTAGAAATACTCCCAGATCATTTTCATCTATGATCTACCTTTGAGCAATAAATAGCAAGCTACTCACTTGTCTCTTGGCTTCTCTTAGCTTCCTCTTAAGAGCTGTTAAAATTCTTTGCACCTCCCAGAGTCTCTCTTCTTTGGATAAGTCTTTTATCCCTGCCTGCAAGTCTCGGTGTAAACAGTTCAGTAGGAACTCCTAGAAACATTACCAAGGCAATTAGTGTCCTTAGTATATCAGAGCAGGGCGAAAAATACAGCACTGGCTTCATGACAAAAGGTGTGGAATTCTGCTTTTCGAAGCACGTGGCATCCCACAACAGGACAACTGTGATACAATTACACTCTTACGAAAGTTTAGTGCTGAATTTATCAAATCCAGGACAAAACCAAACCAAACAACTGAAGTATTCACCAACCTGTCGTCTGATTTCTTCTTTGATGCTTTCCTGTGTCTCTGGTAGTGCCGGCATGGTCGCCATATTTGACCAACGAAGAGGTTTTGTTACCTGTTTTAGAGTCACATTCCCAAAGAACTCTTGAACATGCGTAAAAAATACGTACAGGACACGGTTGCTGATCTGGAAGGAAGGGCATGGGAGATGAGAACACTGGTTAAGATGATTTCTTCACATAATCTGCACCTGTGAAGCACAGTATCTTTCTCCAGAAATGCAAGAGCAAATACATAGAATGGTTTGGGTTGGAAGGGACCATTAAGATCACCTAATTCCAACCCCTGCTATAGGCAGGGACACCTCCCTCTAGACCTCTAAACCTCCCTATCCAGCCTGGCCTTCAATGCTTTCAGGGAGGGGGCATTCACAGCCTCACTGGGGAAACCTGTTCCAGTGTCTCACCACCATCACAGTAAAGAATGTCTTTCTAATATCTAGTCTAAATCTACCCTCTGCCAGTTTAAAGCCATTTCCCCCTGTCCTGTCACTACTTGCCATTATAAAAAAAAGTCCTTCCCCAGCTTTCCTGTAGGCTCCCTTCATGTATTGGAAGGCTGCTATAAGGTCCCCCCAGAACCTTCTCTTCTCCAGGCAAAAGAGCCCCAGCTCTCTTAGCCTGTCCTCATAGGGGAGATGCTCCAGCTCTCTGACCATCTCTTTCTTTTTGCTCATGCAAAGGTGGAAGTAATAGCAATAGGTAAGCAGGAACACCAAACATACTGTGCTATGGATGGCTGCCTTCTCTCTCCTCCCAAAACTTCAGTATTTTCACCAACTTCTCTCTCAGATTTAAAACAGCTAAAAAAAAATTGTTTGAAAGGAACTGCTACCATATTCCTTACTTTAAAATGAGACAGAAGCAAATATTTATTATGATGCTGTACCTTCCATTAAAATTTAAAAACGCATCCTGGAAGAAGGATTAGAATTCTGTCTCTGCCTGTAATTTACTTGCTAAAATCTATTCAACAATGAAGCATGATTGGGCCTGCATCATTTTACATTAACTGTTGCTTTTGTTTGATAGAAAACAACTGGCACAGCAAAACAGCAGAGAAGAACAGCACTTGTCTCACTAGGCCTCCTCCCAGACTCTTTAATAAAGCAGTGCTTTTGTGACAGATGGACTTTCTTCTAGACCACCCACACCCACTGCCATGTTTCCAGTGGCATGGACAGGACTGATTCTGAGCTGCATTTAATACAAAGTTGTTTATTAAGGAATTAAACAGTCCTGAAATCACCAAAATCTTCCTAGAAAATTAGTCAGCAATCTGACTGCAGATACCACAGCCATTATACCCAAGTCATCACAAGATCTGTTTGCAGCACAGGGTGCCGTGGCTTGATAGTAAAATTAAGCAACAAAATAGTCTTCACTAAGTCATCACGGTGTCAGAAACCCAGAAATTCTTCATTCGCTTGAATTACCAGATTAATTCAATGTTGAATTATTTGTGTTCACAGAATAAAAAAGCCCTGTCAGCAGTCTTTGCAGTGTTTTCATAACAGCTGATACCAGGCCCATGCTATGGAAGCTTACCTTCAGAAAGTCTTCCTCCCCCCCTTACTTCCTGTGCATTTTATGTTCCCAAAGTATAAAGAAGGGCTTTAATTCAGCTTAACTGTATAAACAGTGCCTGAGTTACACCTGCGAGAGAATTCCTATAAAGAAGCCTTTCTTGTGCTGACGCTCTGCTCTAGTATTTGTGTGGGGCACGTACCTGGACAGTAGGGCTGAGCACTATAGAAATATTCTGGATGTTCATTTTTGTTTCCAGTTCCTTTGCAATAACGTGGTCCATGTGCACGATGAGCCAAGAAATGAGGAGATGGTTACACTCGGGCAGCTCTTTCAGCAGCCTCTGGCACTCCTGGACTTTCTCAGCTTCTGTGCTCTTTCCACAAGCATCTTCAAAGCGGGGCATTAGCTCTTTGGTAAGCAAGTTTTCAGGCAGTTCTCGAAGGTACTGTTTCAGCAAACTGGCTACTGTGTTGGGCTCGTATTCTTCCAGGTTGGGAGATTCTTCTCGGTCATAGGCTGCCTTGAGCTCATCAACTTTTGACTTTATTCCTGAAAATATTTAAATAAAGAAGACAATTCTTCAACTCTATGTGCATAATAGTTATAACAGTCTTAAATCAGCTGGGCCCAACAGTTCCTTTACATCAAAGAACATGAAATAGGTGAGGAATGAGAGACTAATGTATGTTTCAGAGAATCACAGAATGGCTTGGGTTAGAAGAGACCTCAAGGATCATCAAGTTCCAACCCCCCTGCCACAGGCAGGACCACCAACCTCCAGATCTGGTACTAGACCATATTGTCCAGGGCTCCATCCAACCTGATTTTGAACAACTCCAGGGACTGAGCATCCAAGGCCTCTCCGGACAGCCTGTTCCAGGACCTCACCATTCTCTTTGTAAAGAGCTTCCCACTGACATCCAATCTAAACCTTCCCTCCTTGAGCTTAAAACCATTCCTCCTTGTGCTCTCACTGTCAACCCTCGTAAAAAGTTGATTCCTCTTGTTGTTTCTCTCCATATAACTCCTCTCGAGTAGTTCAATAACAGCCCTCAACCAAACAGCAAATATGTCCTTATCAACTCCAATACTGTGCAAGAAATTCTACACGAGCCTTCCTCTGTGAAACCAATCCCACACAATTTAGTTTCTAGGTCTCCAGCTGGAGGAATCTCACATAGCATTTTGGTTTAAGGCAACGTATGAATAGACAAGTGTTCATGTAATTATTCAGCCTTGCCAGTATTATTTGCACAGTATTTTTACAACTCAGTGACATTCAGACCTTTCATAAGTCAGAAAAGTTTCTTTCTTAAAGCTCAAATACCCATTTGACTTTCTCTGACTTACTGCACTGCCACAACTTGGCTCTGGTACAATAAACAAAGCTGGGTGCACCCAGCCCACGGTAAATGCCAGCTAAAATGTGTTCTATTTCATGTCCAGATAAGTTACTCATCACAAGTGCACTGGTACACTGTTAGGCCATTGTCTTTCAGAGCTCTCAATTTAAGTACTCTTGCACACACCAGAGGGTGCTATTGCACTGGAGAACACCTGGACAGTACAAACATCAAGAACACCTTATGGAAAACAAACCTTCTGTGAACATTCCCAATGCAGCATGTCCTGAAAAAAATGTACTGCCAGAATGGTCCCACAAGTGAGACTAAGAAACTGCTGAGCATCCCTAGCAAGTACTATCCAGACCATCAGCTTAATGAAGCCTCTAGCAATTATCTGATTACTGCTTTGCAGTGCTGGTAATAACTTGTCCCAAGTGCTTTCCCCCAGGTTCCTTTTCTCACTTGTTTTTGCTCCCTTAAATGTGCACGCTGAAGTACTAGCTTGGGTTTCACACAGAGTTCACAAAGGGATTGTTTTGTTAAACAGGACTACAGACCACACTGCTTTATATAAGCAGGTGTTACACAATCACTGTGGTTAATCACCCTGCTGTGGCTAAGCTTAAATGTGAAACTTGCATTTTCTGCTTATTAGTGACTTTGCCCAAACAAAAGAAGCTTTTAAGAAGAAAAATATACACAAGAAAAAGCAACAGTGGGAAGCTTAAGTCGTAAAGTGGTTATTTCTCATCTTCTCTTTTGCCATCAACTAGCACAGCATTTCTTATGCAGAAGTAATAAAAATAAAAATAATACAAGCTTGCCAATGCAGCGCATTTTATTCATACTTATGATCATCCTATCTCAGCTGGTCAATTTAAATACATCTTTACTGACTTTAAGCAGTACCATGACATGAGCAACTTTTCTGGTATTTTAGGGTTTGCTTAGCTTTAGCCACCTGATTATCTTTTCAATAATTAAAATCAAAGCAGCTTTAAATAGCATCTCTAGGTGGTTAAAGCGGTAAAACAAGAAGACAAATGCAACCTAAAGAACCTGTACATCAGTACACTCAGAATACCTGAAACTCTGTAGATGCCTTCACACTTCATGCCATACTTCTCTACATAATCTATACATTCACGGAAAACTGCAGGCAGGCGGATGCCATCATACATCATGGTCCTGTCTACTGCATCAGACAACGGAATGCCAAACACAGGTCTGTGACTTGGAACATCCATCTGAAGTATCTCCGGCTCTTGAATTGGCTTTTTCTTTTTCTTCTTCTCTTTCCACTGTTTAACAACATCTGCCGCAGTTAAGTCTTTTGACTTCTTCTCTTTGTGTTTGTCTTCCTTATGCTTGTCTTCCTTGTGTTTTTCATCTTTGGGTTTCTCTTTTATTTTAAAATCCTTTTCCTTTTTTTTGGAAAAGCTGGGTTTCTTGAAGACATGTATTCCCTTGGACCGCTTCAACTTGGAAGGACTTTCAGCTTCATCGCCAGAACTGTCCTCTTGGAAGGCAGCATAACCTTCCGCTAGAAGGCAAAGGAGGGAAAGGTAAGAGGACAACTGTAAGTTGGCTTGCTTTGTCAATATCAAGAGAAAAAGTAACATCTAAGGAGGAGAGAGAAGTTACATGGGTAAAAACATAGTGTCTGCCTCACTCTTCTTAAGGCTTTTCATAGTTGTTACACAATGAAGTGGACAAAGACTAAATCGAGATCGCAAAAGTCACATCAAAGATAAGCCACACTGCTCCTGCATGATCTAAACAATTCATACTTTACATACTTACTCATAATTGCAATGTCCATCTTATGTGCTAGTTTCCCATTTAATAGTCAAGGAAATGCAAAATAAAAAGAACCGTCTCGCAACTTCTCTATGTTCCTGCAATCAACAGTATAAGAGTCGTTAAGGATCATCTACTACATACATATAAGCCTAAAAAACCTTTTCTAAAGAAGAACAAACAAAACTTCAGTCACTGAACTCTCCAACCCCATTCCAAAATGTTATGAATTTTAAGATGAGTATGAAATTAATAAAGTTACGGTCACAAACAAAATGTCAAAAAAAAAAAAAAAAAAGGTCCAAGCAAACTTACTTTTCCATCGGAAGAATTAAACAACTCCAGTAACACTACCACTATACCTGTCAGTGAAATTGTATTTTTGTCTTAAAAATTGTATGTGAGATCTCCAAACGAGTCCATGGCACAGCACGCTGTTTCAGCACCAAAACACCTAGTGTCTTTTAAAGTATCTGCACCAGCATTTTCATTAACTACGCCTCCGCAGCTGGCCCTTCCTATCCTCCAGGCAACAACAACAAGGTGGATTACAAAAGAACAGCCAAACAACAAAAAAACTCCATTAACTAAACAAAAAACCCACAACCAAAACCAACAACATAGAAACCAACGCAACTTCCAAGTGAATTCATTGCGATTTTACACGCTCTGTGCCCCAAAGAAAGCAAGCCTGAAACTTGTTCAACAAAGAAGGCATTTCACCTGCGTGTCATCTGCACCACCTAGGTCCCCCAGTGCGGTGGAAAATAAGCTCTTGCTTCAGTGTGATACCCCTGTTACACAGATGCCTTGACACTCTTCCACCACCTGTAGACAGTGCCTCTGCCTGCGTGAAGCACAGTGACAGCAAGTGCAGTTCCTGACTGAACAGACCTAGTTGGTGGAAAATTACACCCTTCCTTAAGTGATGTGAGAAAGCCTAATGGAAAGATGAGAGGTTGTATGTCTGCAGGTGAGACACTTCGTGCAAAACAACCTTTATTCACCTGTTCTAAAAGCTGCAATTAGTTTATCAGCAGAACTTCAGCACATCCAAAGAGCTCTCTATATTTTGAAGCCTTCTTATATGCTCTGTAAGTAGTATTCAATAGTTAAAAACACGAAATGTATTAAAACGTGGGACTACAATCAAATAACTACAATCACTTGACCAGCCTTCCCATCCTGAACTCTTTCCTAGGACTACCAAACACATATTCCATGGAAGAATGGAGAAAGATCTACTGGAGAACAAGCAGCAACCAGGTCTTGACCTCCCCATATCGCTGTATCACTGCTCACTCTTCTTGTAAACTAGAAATGAAAACAGGTAGGGAAATCTGCAATGCATAAGCTAAGGATTCAGTTCTGGGATAAAGACAGCACTGACGCATCAGGTGCAGGACAAAGCAGAACACCTCACCATCACTTCCTGTCAGAATGAGATGGGGCCTGCACAGATTTAAGATGGGGTTCCCAGATGTCATTTCTGAGCAGAAAGCTAAACCTTCACCAAAGGCAGCCTGGAATAATCCATCCTCAACACCTTCAATTGGGTAGCTGTACCAGTGCCCCATCTAGCAGAGTGGGGTTCCTCCCAACACACATACCATGCCCAGTGTCAGCACACACAGTGCCAGTCAGTACAAGGAGCCTGTACTTGGAGGCTGATTCCAGCAATAAGCAAAGCAGCACATTTCAACACTCCATGTTGCAAAACAAATTCTTAATGCTCTTCAAGGCCTTCAGTAACACCAGTAACAGCACGTTACTGAAACTGGTATTTCTTGACTTCATGCAAGACATGAAGCAGCAAGTCACATACAAAACCAGCCTACTTTGTCTCAGCAACATAAGTTTATAAATGTATATTAATCAGAGATTCGCTGAGAATCTCTCACTCATACCACAAGGAAGCTTCTATGTCTTCCAGAGTAGGCTAATTTTATTTAGAAGTAACCGTACTCCTGGTAATATTACAGCACCTCTTTCACCAGAGACACAACATACTGAAATACAAGCAACCCAAATTTATACAGAAGAAAAATAATTGAAAGCACGTGATAAATCAGGTAATTTTAAATGTGGAACGTTACATCACAGAATATCCCAACTTGGAAGGGACACACAAGGATTGAGCACAACTTCCAGCTCCACAAAGGACCACCCAGAATTGTTCTCCAAACGCTCCTTGAACTCCAGCACTTGGGGCCATGCCCACCACCCACTCGTGCAGCACCTGCCCCTAACCCCCAGCTGCCCTCCCCTGACACAGCTCCATGCCCTTCCCTCCTGTCGCTGTCACACAGAACAGAGCTCAGCGCTGCCCCTCGGCTCCCTGTGAGGAGCTACAGCTACCATCAGGCCTCCCCTGAAGTCCTTTGAAGTCCTGCATCTAAGTAATTGATGAAAACCTTAAGAGAACTGGCTCTAAAATGGAGCCCTGCAGCACCCCACTAGTGACTGCCCACCAACCTGATGTAATCTCATTTACTATAACTCTCCAAGCCCAACTTGAGAGTTGGCTGGGAGTTTATTGTTACTGCAGTCATAGTCCTCCAGCTCAGGGCTTGGGGGTCTCATGGAGCCCATCATTAGTGTTGAAGACAAGTGAAAGCATTAAATGTTTCTTATTAAAGTGATCAACAGTAATTGTTTAAATGCCAAATTACATAACCATAGCAGGTTGTGTATTGTCCAAAAAATCAAAACAGGAGGCCAGAAAAGCCACCAGGTACCCCTGCTCTTTTACATAAGTAGAATGTTCTGGGTATATCTGCAGTAATTACCATGTTTGGACTGTACAAGAGATACCAGAAGCTTTGTATTCAACTCAATCCTATATCTGACTGCTAATTACATGACATACATACAATAGGGTTAGGATGTGCTGAATGCTTTTTATGTTACAGCTGCAAGAGAAGATGTGACTACTCCTGCATTTTGCATTTATGTTGTTTTTATACTTCATCTCTAAACTCCTCTAACAAAAAATGCTTTGCATCAGTTGTACAATGTGTTATAATCTCTTGTGGAAGAGAGCAGTTACGTTGCTAGCAGTGTACAGACCTGCAGGTACTTGCTGAAGTAGCATTTCCCCCCTTCAGCTTTCAGTCTATTGCCATGAGACAAGCAGATTACACCACAAAGAAAGCCATACTGTATATAATGCTGGTCTCTCACAATTCTAAATTCAGAGGCATACATTTAGAGGCAGGAGGGCAGCATTACCAAAGTTGATTTGCAAAGAGGAAAAAAGCCCAACAGACAATGGCTTTATTTTAGAACCAACTAATACAGAATTTATCATAGAATGGCCTCGGTTGAAAAGGATCTCAAAGATCATCTAGTTTCAACCCCCCTGCCACGGGCAGGGTCACCAACCAGGCTGCCCAGAGAATCAGCAATGCAGTATTAATATTAGGCCAATGTTATTTACAAGAGAAAAAATAAAGTATCAGCTTTCTTAAAACCTGTAGGAACTTTGGTTGTTAGTTTTGACTAGAGGATAACATGGTTTTGAGTTACAGTACCCTTCAGACACAAGCCTTCTAAACTGTGGTAGAAGCAACAATACCTGCAATCCAGGAATGCTTATTACAAATGGTCATCATACTCATTACAAAAAGCCATAATATTGTGTGCTGTCTCATTGGTATTTGGTATTCCCAGTTTCACTTCTAGGAATTAGTGAGGCACAAAGGCATCCACAACATCCAGCATTTGGGCCATGTACAAGGACAATATAAAACATGGAAAAAATATTGTAAAGCTTTGTCAAAAAAAACAAAACAACTCAACTGGGTGGCTGTGATACTTAGGTTTTAGAGGGTTGGAACTGGATTGGAGAAAACTGCATGATTAGACTGAACTAAGAAGCTAATGAAAGAAAGGATGCAAGTTATTAGTCCTCAATGAGTGGTACAGTGTGCATATGAAAGCTTAAAATGGTAATTAATAACAAACACTGACCACACAAGGCATGAAAAAAGAAACAAGTTAAATGTTGTTTAAACTAACTCTTTCAAATTTAAAAGTGTAAAATTCAGGTCAAACTTAGAGCTTTACTTTAGCAAGTGTTACAGCTAAAATTTCAAATAGCATCTATTAGGAAATACAGTTGAAAATCTCTACTCAGGATCTGAACTGATAATGCTATAGGACTATCATGCCAGGTGATCACCAACACACTGCTAAAGGCTTTACATAAATACGTTTATCAGCAATTCTGGGCATGTGCTTGGTGCCTGTACAACAACAAAAAAGTCCTTTTCATCAAGAGAAACAGGTATTGCACAAAGTGTGTGTTGTATAAGTTGACTTCCTTCACACCTAAACAGGTTTAAAGAGGAAGAAATCACAACAATAACAGAAAAAACAATACTGGGAATACCAGGCAATTATGAGAAAGACAGACAGAAAAAGGACTTAAGCATGAAATAAGAAGTCTCCTACTCACTTCTTTTTTCTTTCTTTTTAAATTTTCCTTTCTTCTTCCCATGCTCCTTTTCATCATCAGATACTATATCTGGAGGCTCATGCAAGCTGTCATGAGGTGGCGAAGGCTCACCAGTACGGTACAACCCAGGGAATTTTGTAGGGCTGATCTCTTCAGAGCTGGGAGTACGAGCAAGACCCCCACTGTGTTCTACCCGACGGTGTTCACTGGGGCTGCTGGTGGGAGGCAGGAAGCACTCGGTCATTCTGATTCCCTGATATCAAAGTGAAATCTTCTGCTACCTGTCCATCACACCTGTAGCAGGAAAAAAAAAAAACAAAAAAACATGAAAAAAATGTTAACAGTCATTTTCAAAGCACTTTGTTTAGAGCTCTGTCTTGGAAATGTAACAAACATCAATGCCTTTTACAAGGAACGCTCCACCTGATGACATGAGGCAATAATAAAACAGAGCAGGCTCTAAGCTTAGTGCTTGTAGAATCTGGCCATTAGCTGCCAAGCCATGCTAACACAATAGGAGAGCTGTTATTTCAGCCAGCTTTGCTTTACACCATGCCAAACATTACGTATTGAGTATCAGAATATGGATTCTACATGTAGAGAAATTCTTACAAAATTCAGAGGCAGCTTGCATGTTATGAAACAGCTAACCTTGAATCTTTGAAATAAAATAGGATTGTTTGGAAGCTCAGAGTATCTGTGAGGCCTGCATTTGCACCAAGACCGCTTTCATCTTTCTCAAGCATATTTTATAGATGCAAATAAGAACTTGCCTAACCTGTTGCAGTAAGAGAGGGGGAAAAAAAAAAGTCCTGAAATCAAATAGAAAGGAAAACAATCATTTTTGAAGCTGCCAGCTCCATAACCTGGTTGTCTGTGCAGCCATACAAAATGCCATAGCAACAACAAGGCTGAGATTAGGAGAGAGGTGCTCTGCAGACAAAGGGATCAAGGTGACTGTGTAGCCACTGCCTCAAACAGAATTAAAACACGTTAAGATTCCACATCAGACCTATCTCCATGAGAATTATTACTGTATCAACACATCCAGAAACAACAGCTCAGGCTTCTGCACTAGCCATTAGACTCTGCAGTCATCTCTCGTACTCCTGCTGTTTAATGTAGACATGCTGAGTAAACATCAGTCAACACTTTGCTAAGGAAGACAAACAATCACTGATACCCAGTATTTTATAAAACCCATACTTAGGAAAACAGGATACTTACTGGCTAAGCAGGAACTCCTGACACATCACACACACTGGACTAACTTGTAGCAGAAAGCCTCTTTTAAAGAGAACCGCATTAACACGAGACAGAGCCTTTTTCTTTTCTGACATGCTTCTTGGGTATTTTCATATTTTTCATGGATACTGAATATTGCACTGCTGTACTAATTTGATACCGTGTTTAAGAGGTAAGAATACGTTTTAGGAGAAATATCAGCCTCTACAGCTTCAGACTTAGACATACCAAAAGACCTTCAACTACAGAAGCACGTTCAGTACTACCAGCAACAGACTGGCAATACTGTTGTATCTCATTCGAGTATCAGATCTGCGAAATTTGTTTACACCACTTGTTTTTAACCCCAAAAAACCCTACAAGCCCAAGACCAGAGCTGAAAGGAGCCCTACCAAAATCTACTGTTAACAGCGGACAGCACTTCAACAGCAGCTCAGGGACATAAATTAGAAACATATATTTTATTTATAGCAAATAGGGTAGACCACACCTACAAATGGGTCTGTGCTTAACATGGGCAAGGGTTGTAAGTGCAAAGAGTCCCTGATCAGTGCAGTGGAGTTGGATGAGACAATCTGTAAAGGTCCTTTCCAACTCATACAACTCTGTGATGGAGGATGAGAACAACGTCATTGTAAAGGCACACACAGCAACCTGGAAAACATGTCAGAATTAGCCCACCTGTTACACAGCACTCTGCAGTTGTGTTTTCCTCAGTTACTCAGCTCCTGGGGGCTTATTTACAGATTGGCAGAATAAGGACAAACATAATATGGAATGGTGTTTTGCCAGGATAATAATCTAGAAGTGTCCAGCTAAGTGGCTTTTGTTGTTGCTTTTGAATTGTTTCTAAACTCTCATCTTTCAACTGTCTGTATGCAGACCAGAGTGAAAGATTAATTACATATGAAGAGAAGTACCTCGCTGCAGGAGATCATTCACAGAGTGCTTATGGAAATCAACAGTTCCTCAGATAAGAACTCAGATAGGGCACAGTAAGGCACGGGGTTAAGATAAGAAACAAAGCAGTCACGAGATCTTTTATATGATTCATTCTTTATTTCTGCTAGAGTAGAGACCCTAAGAAAAAATAACAATGTATATTTATAAATGCAAAATTACAATGCACCTGTGTTTGTTTCGTATGTTTTGTTTGTTTTACAGCCTTAAGAAGGCATTACTCTCCTATACCATAACTTCCCAGGCCTTGAAATAAAGGAGAAACTCCAACGCGCTCAAACTACACCATGGCTTATCAGAAGCAGATCCTTAGGCCTGGGATCCTTAGGCCACAAACATCTCTTCCACTCCCACTAATGGATGTTCACGCACTATTACTGCACAGATCTGTGCCTCTCCTCTGGCTTTTACAAATATTTGCTGACAGCAAGACATGGCGTGACTGAAAAATCGCGGATCTTCTCTGCATTTTGAGAAGGAATGCTCCTAATGGGCTGATTCTCCTGCCAAGCTCTCTCTCACACTTGACCCCTTCCTCCCAGTCTGTGACTGCTCCAGTCCGAGCCTGCTGCTCTTTGCTTCCATTTCCTTCTTTTCTCACTCAGTCACAAGGTTTAACAGCCCGCTGCTGACACATGAACACTCCTCCTTCCTGCTCTGCAACTGCAGTAGATCAGTGTCACCAGACCCCTTTATAGCATAGATCAGCTCGCTACCTGCTCCAGCAGGTTCCTTCTGCTGAGCTGGCTGGTGGAAGAGCTCAAAACAAGCTCTGCAGACAGAAAGCAGAGGAGCAGCAGAACCATGGTGTCACAAAGGCAACCTCCCCTCTTTGCACAGTTCATGTTTGTGATGCTGCGGGCACAGCTTCATGACCCAAATTTCACCTCATTCTTGCTATTTTCCTCATAACTACAAGCTTCGATTTCTTTACCACTCACTGCTGGTACTCCCACAGTTCCAGTCTGATTTCTTTTTCATCCTTAGCACGTCACGACACAGCATGGTTTGGCGTCTGTGACCCACACTTCTTGAATAGTCTCACCCACTTCTCTCCCTTGATTTTCACTTGGTCAGTTCAGGCTGCTTGCTTGCAGATACAGTTCTTCCTCTTCCTCCTCCTTTTCTCATTAGCTACTGGTTCCCATTTCCTCCAAGATATTCTTCTCTGCTGCAGTCATTTGTTTCCTCCTAACTACTGACCTTCTCACCTCATCTTCATTCCTCCCACCAGCCTTCAGTCTCTCTCCCAAGTAATGCAAGAAATTATCATCTTCCCTACCTCCATTCCCACAGCAGGCTCCCACCAGCTCCTGCTTGCTAGATATTTGATTCTTTTTCCAGAGGAAGCCAAAAAATTGTTATATGACAACAGCAGAGAACTTTTCCCAGTCCGAGTGCCTGCTCAGACACAGCTACTCTTGTCAGTATCCCAAAATGCAGTTTCAGGAAGCATCTTCCTGCTCAGCACGGATCTGAATATTCATCACTGCACGTGAAAACAAAAAGCTGTTACTGAACATGGGCAGAATTGTGACCTTTCCTCTGTTCCCCAGAGAAGTGTCAAATCCAAATTAAAAAGGGTTTTAAGCCTGGGAGGCAAAAGGTATATCCTTAACACAAGGACTCCATCATCTTTCAAGACCACAAAGACAGGAATGTGGGTTAGGGAGAAAAAGAGAGATGCCTACAGTGCTAAATCAGCCTTGTTCTTGAAAATAGTTCAATTCTCTTCTAAAATAAAATAAAATAATCAGCCCGAGCTATGTACCTAGGAAGAAAAACAATGTTAAACAAGTGAAGTTTGAGAAATCCATAGAAAAAAAAACAAATAGGGAAAGATGTAACAGGCAACTTTAATACAATCTCACTTGTTACAGTGTGGCATAAAAAAAATGGCATTAACACATTAAAGAGAGGCAGAGTTGGAAGACCAAACTCACAGCTCTTTCATGCAGTATAAAAGGCACCATTATTTCAATTTTGATCCAAGTCCACCTTGAGACTTTGTGCCCCATAACCAATTACAATAGCTGAAGTAAATTAAAGCAGGTGATTGCATGCACAGATGCTGTTTTGTAAAATTACTGAGCAGAATAAAGGGAATTCCACTGGGAATTCTGCTGCAATAAGAATTATGTAAGACCACATCTGAAGCGGGTGTCCCCCAGGTCATCCCATGTCCCTGCACACAGCTATACTGAGAGATCTGGATGATGCGCTGAAAATAGTGCCAAGAAGTCAGCAATCAGAGGAGGGAGGTCAGGCGTGAACACTCATTCAGCTGTCAAAATGCACTGTCACAGCTACACAAAAGCAAGATCCACAACACCGCAGCGCCTTATTATCTGTCTTCAGCCCAAAAGATGTGGCCATATGTGACAAAGTGATGTGATCCAAAGACGTGCAGCATGCTGCACTGGGGCAATAAGCAATGTTCCATTTTGGAAAGCAGTGAGCCAGAAAAGAAGAAAAACTACCAGTTGTGGTCAAAGCACTTCAGAAACAAAGATGACTTGGAGACAAGACGACAGAGTACTAAGTTACTGCAGTTCATGCTGTCACATAGCAAACTGACATCTATTTTATTTAACGAACAGTGCCCTTTTCTTTGCTGAACAGTGCGTGGCCACAAGAGGAGAGAGGGAAGTGCATCATGTAGACAGGTAGAGCAAGTTTAATATTTCCCAAGTTGGAGTAACCACACAAACAGCATTAAGCAACTCTCTCATGAGTCATTCACCTACCATGTCTGGGATTAATTAAAGCTTCAAGAAGGGTCTTTAGTTTGGATGTTGGGTTTTTTTTGTAGAATATCATTCAACTCCTAAACCTACAAGTACTTTACAAGATATATGGTACTATAAGAATGATAAAAAATTTAATTTAAGAGTTTTTAATCACGTAATTCAAGTACACAAGGGCAAGCTATTTTTTCCAAAACCAACGCCAGCATGAGAACAGCTCTAAAAGCAATATAAATAGATGTACGCATTTTCTCATTTAACTGCATTCTGCTGTGATCACAGTACCATGCAAAGCATCTCAAATTCTGCTCTGAGAGTCCATGCCAGCTCCAAGGTGGTGACATATAAACACATTAGCTGTCCCAGAGAGCTACAACACATCCACATTTGAATGGACCTCTGCAGGACCAGCTCACATTCCAAATATATAGCAGTATCCGAGTTACTCCCTTTTAGCGAGAGTATTCCAGTCCTTCTTTACTCCATTCATTAGGGAGACAACCTGAAAATAAACACTAAAGTAAATAAAGCAATATCCTAGACATTTCAGAAACATCAGAAACGTGGTTTCTCATCACACGATGATGAAATCTCCAGATATGTGGTAACATATACCCTTTAGTTTAGTTCACTTCAGGAAAAGCAGTATGATAGCCTCTAGCCTACTAATTCTGTAGACCTCATCAGGATGCAATTTACAGGCTATTTTCAATATCTGTCTTGGGAACAACAAATCTTGAGATCCCTGGGGGAGAATTAAGTGCTTTCCTACAAAGAGTGCCCCTAAAAAGAAAGAGCATAACTGCATAAGGAAAAGCACCCTGATCACTCTGTGATTCTGCCTTCTGCCTTGGCCAGGAATAAGGAATATTCCCTGCAGCCACACGGCCTGTTCTATTCTACCACCCTCCTTCCCTGCTGCAGCCTACCGTGACATGTACATCCAACTGCCTGTTCCACAGCCAGCTAAAGCAGGTAGGCCAGGGGGAAAACCTAGGCATAGAATGCAACAAACAAGCCATTCACAGAAACAACATGAACCACAAGAAACTCCCTCACTCATTTCCACTCTTCATGGGTCCCTTATAGAAACATAGAATTGTTTGAGTGGAGAAGGGACTTTTAAAGGTTATGTAGTCCAGCTCCCCTGCAATGAACAGTGATACAGCAGATCAGGTTGCTCAGAGCCACATCCAGCCTGAGCTTGCGTGTCTCCAGGGTTGGAGCATCCACCACCTCTCTGGGCAGCCTGTTCCAGTACCTCATCACCCTTACATCAAAAAATGTCTTCCTTACATCCAATCTAAACTTCCTCTCTTCTAGCTTGAAACCATTTCTCCTTGTCCTATCACAACAGACACTGCTAAAGAGTCTGTCCCTTTCCCTCTTACAGCCTCCCTTTAGATAATGAAAGGCCACTACCAGGCTCCCCAGAGCCTTCTCTTCTCCAGGCTGAACAGCCTCAGCTCTCTCAGCCTGTCCTCATAGAAGAGGCGTTCCATCCCTTACATCATTTTGTGGCCCTTTTCTGGACACCCTCCAACAGGTCTATGTCTCTCTTGTACTGAGGACTCCACATCTGGACGCAACACTCCAGGTAAGGCCTCACCAGCACTGAGTGAAAGGGCAGGATCACCTCTCTAGACCTGCTGGCCGCACTTCCTTGAATGCAGTCCAGGGTATGGTTGGCTTTCTGTGCTGTGAGGGCACACTGCTGGTTTATGTCCACCTTCCCATCCACCATTAACCCCAGGTCCCTCTTGGCAGGCCCTTCCCCATGTCAGAATATATTGTTATGAGTGGAATGTTATATTATAATCACAGCTACATGTAAGAGGCACCCTTGGAAATAACTGGCAAGTGAAAGTGCTGCTGTTTAATTTTTCTGCATAGTGTTTCCATGAAGTTACAAGCAGGTCTGGACTCAGCCTCATGAGGCAGACAGGTGCTGTAACCAGGCCATGCTTTTGCAGAGTATCTTGACTAGTTGGATACCTCCATCACAACTGCTGCTGCCCACACAGAGAATAATTCTTCACTTTTCAAACTTCTTGGAAGACTGCTGGTTCAGCGTTTGGGATTTTTCAATCCTTCTGCATATCCCGTTCCCAGTTCCCATGGTGTTGCTGCCACAAAATAACCCAATCCCAGCACCTCCCTCGTCTTGCTCAAACCCAGCATACTAATTGCCCATCCCACGCTTTTGTGTCTCCGCTTCCCAGGCTGAGCTACACCTTGTCTCTCTCACAACCTCCCTCTCACCACCCAGGTGTTCAGCAGTGAGACCATGCAACTTCAGTTTCACCACTCCACTTCACACCCAGTGCCTCACCTAATCTCAGCTCCTGGCTGCTCACTGTTTCTCAGGTTTTCCCTTGCCACCTTCTGTTTCTCCCACATTGAATTCTAAGTACGGCTTCTGAGAAGTACAGTCCACCCATGTGCAAGGAAACATGGGAGGTCATCTCTTGTAAGACTTAAGTTGTCCCCTTAAAATATGGATGGCATTAACAGGGCTAGCCTGATTACTGAAATCTTTGTTCATTACAGAAATGGGATTTTTCTTCCTTACCAGCTTAATTCTCAGAAACAGCTTGAAGAATCTGATTTGTGCTTTTTAGATTTAGAACAAGAAGTTTTACTTTTACCACATAACAGATAAAGAAAAATGTAGTAAAAAGTTGTGAGTTTTTGGTTTGTTTTTTTTTTCCATAGAATCACAGAATGGCCTGGGTTGAAAAAGACCACAATGATCATCTTGTTTCAATCCCCCTGCTATGTGCAGAGTCGCCAACCACCAGACCAGGCTGCCCAGAGCCACATCCAGCCTGGTATCGAATGCCTCCAGGGATGGGGCATCCACAACCTCCTTGGACAACCTGTTCCAGTGTGTCACCACCCTGAAATGTAAACAGTTTCAACAAATATGGGATTACCTCAGGTTTTGTTTGCCCTCGGGACTATATACAAGTTTTATACAATTCTCATCTCACCTCTTTTGAAGAGCTATCTAATCTCTGGTCACCAAAGGAATGCAGCCAGTCACACAGCATGACCTAGAAATTTTAAACTAATTTTTATACTTCTACCAGGCGCTGGACCAAGATGACAAATTGCTTTTATTACAGAGATTTCAGCTACTGCACTCACTCACTCACTCACACTCTGCTCCCCCAGCTCAGACAACTCCAGGACAGCAGTGCACTTAGTGGAATCTGTTTAAAAAACAAAAACAAAACCACTGACTGGTTGAACTACTATAAGTGCCAAGAGTCCGTTTTTTTTCTTGTTTTTATTTTAAAGTGTGCATTAGATAGCACGTGCTAAAATACTCCACATGACAAGTCTAACCAGGAAGTATTAAAGCTTTGGCTTTAACCCCAATAACACGTTTGGGACATGCCTGCACACCAGCAATCTGTGCTAAAATGCTGGCATAGCTGTGACAACAGTAACTTGCCAGCAATAGGGATGCAACAGCATCTCCGCAGAAGCCCTGGGAATGTACTCAGTCTAACGTACAGGCAGACAACACAGAAACCCAACACCACCATCCTCTTTATCCAGGCCAATTACAAGGAAACCAGAACAGCTATGCTCCCCTACTCACACCTCATGATTTGCAGCTGCTGGTTTGTCCTTCAAAACCTACTGTGCTATGCATACTAGTGCACTCACTTTGGTAAAGTCTAGTTACACATTATCAGCAACAGAAATCTGCTTAACATGTAAAGGAAACAACAACAAACACATGCGCTACATGAGTTCAAGCCAGCACTTCTTAATCCATTACTGAGATATGATCTTTTAGACTGGATGTAGAAATACCAGAAGTACCGTGCTTCATCACTGAATTAGCTGAATTTTGATCACTGCTTTATTCTCATAATTTTCAAACAGTATTATGTTCATTTTAAAACAGTCACTTCACAGTCTTGAACTGGAAGGTTGGTGTTAATGTTATCTCAACAAAGATACCTGGAATGGCTGCCCACAGATGTGGTGGATGCCCTTGGGGACTTTCAAGGTGAAGCTGGATCAGGCCCTGGCAACCTGATGTAGCTGTGGTGTCCCTGTTCACTGCAGGGGAGCTGGACTAGATGGCCTTCAGAA